GTACCTCTGGTGCAAATTACTGACCTCTGTCATCATTTTAAGTGGGGGAACTTGCACAATCGGTGGCTGACTAAATACTTTTTTGCCTCACTGTATATCTGTATTATTGCTGAAGCACTTTCTGGATGGATGCAAACTGCATTTGGTTGCCTTGTATTTGGGCATGTGCAATGACAATAAAGCTGAATTCTATTCTGTTCTATTCAGACTTCGACTCCACGTTAACCTGTGCCAGTGTTTCAGGTTAAGGGTGTCTGTGTCTGTCTGCCAGAGTGTCAGGCGGTTTCACAAGACTGAAGACCTCAGCAAACAAAGTCTCCATCTGCAGCTCGCACAAATGCATGCACGTATCGACATTATCCTCACGAAACCACCGATCAGCTCGACGGACCCTCCGGTTTACCTGCATACATCCTGTTCACCTGTGAGCTGTTACTGATTCAGGAAACACGCACACCCTCCTCGCAGCTGCTGGAGCTTGTGTTTCTCCACAGAGTGACGGACCAGGAGAGACGATGGACACTGAGATAACTACAGAGCTCTTTAAAAGCCAGCGGGTGGGATCATGGTCTTTGCTTCATGTTTAATAACTTGTCAGTTTAGAAGTGATAAAGTCTAAAAATTGGACGTAGCTTCCTGATCTTAAGAGTGAAGCCAACATGGAAGCGTGTTCCTTCTAAAATCCAGCAGGTGGCGAACCTTCTGATTGTGAAACAGAGGTCCGTGTGAAAACCGACCATCACTGACCCCTCCCTGTGATCAGTCAGCTGGTATTTTAGCTGACAAACCGATGCTGTGGGTTCTCTGTGAGCTTCTGGATGGATCGCTAACAGTGCCGGCACAGTTATGACGTTCCTTTGGGAAATTTGTGTCTTTGTTAGGAAAGTCTGAATAAATAAAGTTGGATGTTGTGGGGATGAACAAAAGTATTTTACCAGCATAATATAATCTGCAGTATGATCATTGCTTTAACAATGTAACGGATAGCTTTAAGATGGCCTTAAGATGTTTATGCATACTGTTATCATATTAACTTTGTATTTCAGATGCAGTTATGATTATGTTATACACATTGCATATCTGTGCTTGTTTTGAGTTGATGTTCGGTTCATTAAGGGTCTTAAGCTTCACTGGCGTGACTGTCCAGGTGATACATGCTGAGGGAAACTAGAACATAGAAGAAATTTCAATACATGCTTACAAAACACTTATAAATGATAATAAAAATAACCTGATATAAGTTCATAGTTTTGTATTAAGCTTTTAGTAGAGGTGCTTGATTAAAACATTTATTTAGTAAATGATATATACATAGTTTCAGTTCAGGTTAGTATATATATGAGAGTGGCTTCTGTCTCTCTGTCTGGTGAGAGGTCAGGAGCCAGTCGGCGAGGTGAAGTAGGGTGCAATTGTGGTTAACACACACACACACACACACACTCACTCAGTTAGAGAGAATCATTTATAGGTGAAAGTTTAATCATGTTTTGCTTGGGGTTGCAAAAGGAGCAGTTTGTCGCAGAACTGCTGCTGATGTGTCTGGATGACAAGCGAGCATCCGGCAGTAACAGGATGTACCTGTTATGAAGACGACGGCGGCGTTCTTTTAAATTGTGTTAAAAGTCATTGTGGTTTTGATCTGATCTATGTATAAAATGTATTTGTGACGTTGAAGGGGCGTCATTAAATTTAAGCCCAGGTGATATAAAATATCTGTTTATGCTTTGATTAAGTCGAAGATCAATTGCTGTCTGTGGTGATCTTCCCACGTGTGTATTAAAATCATCGTTTGACTTCACCCGGCCGGATCAGTGTGGTTATTCTTCGATCACCTCTTGTACCCTTCCTCAATATTGAACCCTTAACAATGTGATCTTTGTGTTCGAGTTTGCTCTCAGATCTGATTAATTCAGCTTCTTTGAGAGGCTGTCCACACTCTGCTTCCTCCCTCGGAGGAAGCAGTTTCTCTGTAAGAAGACTTCCCTGCAGAATGTTTGAATACCTGCTGCTCGCTCTCTGCATCACATCCTGCCAAACCATCAAGAGGAAGCTTTTCAGAATAAGAGGAAATATTGGATAAGGCATGACAGCTCTGAACCAATCAGTTTGCAGCAAACCAGCAGTTTAATAACACATCCCAAATCTGTACAGGAACATGAGCACACGGAGGTTTCAGCAACACAAACCAGTGAGGCCAGCAGCTTTACTGGAACACTGTGGCTACTGGGAAACACATCCATAAATACACACGTGTGTGTTACTGCAGATATGTTTACAATTGTCTTTATATGAATAACATGTCTATAAAAATGTTCATACAGCTTCCAAACTAATACAAAGTGATAACTGATGGAAGTACTGCAGTACTATGAACTCCAGCTGGATCATCACATGACTTTTATTATGAAATCCTCACAGAAAATGCAGCATTAGCGCTGACAGAGCGACAGGAAGAACACGTTACACTGTCCCAGCAGGAGGCGCCAAACCAACGCATGACTTCCAGACAGCCAATTTAAGACTGAGGCAGGCGTCTCATTGGTCACTTTACACACAGACGTATAGAACTGACCAACGAGGCGCCTGCGTTTAGATGTGACCAACTGTGTTCACAGTTTGATTGGTTCCACATGTTGCAGCTCGTTTACTTCAATTTAATCTTCACAGCTCTGCGTTTCTATGATGTCATCGTTTGTGTAATCTGATGTGTAATCCCAGAGTCGTCACTGAAGCCGGCTCTCTGTCACTTAGTCTCTTCTAACTTTATTTAAACACATCCGCAGGAACAGCGCTGCGGGTTACCTGTGACACCTTCCTCCTTTACCTGTGTGAGCTTCATTGAGTATTTGAACTGACAGGTTAGAGAAGGTTACTGATGTGAGATATCAGATTAGACTCGTTGGAAACATTAAAATATCATAAAAACATTTTTCACCGTTTGTGAGTCATTCACAATTAAACACGTGTGATCAAACTTCCTGTTACATAAAGAGAACGACTCAGCTCTCAGTCTGTTAAGTACAAACTGATACAGCGCCCTCTCCTGGCTGCAGAGGACGCTGCACACAGGCTGAAAAAGTCAGAGAGCCGCTGATGTTAGTACAGCCCAAAACTGAGCTCCAATCACCTACAGGCGGCCGAATCACATGGCCCTCCTCAGCCGCAGCTTTTACAGTAAAGTCTGCCTGACGGGTCCTGTATGAGGTCATGCGATCGTTGTCTCTGTAACCTGAATGGCTTCCTTGAGTCGACTGCTGGCGTGCTGTGAATGGAGGGAGATCATGTGACCCCACCGTTCGGTCCTCAGACATCGTAGGGCCTCTCCTCTTCCTCCCGCTCCTCCTCCGTGGTATTCTTGATGAAGGCGGAGGACAGCTCTTGCAGGAGCAGTTCCTGCGATGGCGTGCAGACTCCCATCAGCTTCTGCCTGCTTCTCACTGCAGGCTGGCTGGCGGCATCTGAATCTGGAGAGCCTGCATCTCCATCGCCTCCGCCGGCTCCTCCGCTACTGCTGCTGCTTTGCTCCAGAGTCTCCACGGAGCCTCTCGCCATCCGGACTACTTCCGGGATGATCATGTGATCCAAATCTCTGGACTCCACGGGAACCAACCTGAGTGGGGGGTGGTCTGGCACTTCCTGGGTCTCTGCGATGCTGCTGGACAGGAAGCTGGTCTCCAGAGACTTCAGGACCTGCAGGCCGAAGTCGCCGACCTCCTCATAGAGCGGCTCAGGCAGGTCAGGAGACTCCGAGCGTTCCTCGAACGAGTCCTGCTGGACCTTCATGGGCTGGAGACACACACGAGACCCAAGGTCAAACCCCGCCCCCCCAGCGTTTACTACAGGCTCACGAGTGAGACGAGAGGAAGTACAGAGTACTTACAAAGTACATGGAGAGAGTTCTCCGGTCGTGTAGTTTCCTCTGCAGGGGGAAGACAAAGTACAGATGACGAGTTTGTGCATTTGCCCTGTGAGAGTTTACTGAGCATGTCTGAGAAACAGCTGAGAGAGTTGGACACTAACCAGCGTCTGATTGGCCGACAGCATGCTGCTGTTGCTCTCGTCTCCTCTGATGGGGACGAGCGGCATCGTTCCGAACTTCTGCTTGGAGATGTCAGAGGAGGAGTGGCGGCGCAGCACTGGAGGACCCGGGTCATCGTTCTGCAACAGAAGCACATCCATGATGGCCAGCACAGGAGCGACGGCTGATCCCAGACCAGTGTGCAGGTAAACGTACCTGAGCTCTGAGAAGGCTCGTGATCCAATCCCACAGCTCGGCCTCGCTGCTGCAGCACAGGTACCTGGTGGAGGGGAGGGGCAGATACTTTTGACTTCATGCAAAACTCAAACCCTCAGAGCTTTTATTTTAATGCACAACGTCCACGTGTGACTGAGTCAAACATCAGCTGCAGGTGAGTGTGACGCTGAGGAGGACAGGTGAGCCCTGATACTTACAGCTGGTGTTTGTCTGACATCACTGTGAAGCCCCACCTGCACAGGAAACACACAAGCCATCAGCCTCTGACGCTCACTGCTCAGTTCAGACTGCAGGAGTGTGTGTGTGCATGTGTGTGTATGTGTGTGTGGGTGTGTGTGTGTGTGTGTGTGTCTGTTTGTGTGTGTGGGTGTCTGTGTTTGTGTGTACGTGTTTGTGTGTACGGGTTCTTACTATACTGGTGGGGACCAACAGCCCGGGGTTGAAGCCATTTTTCACACTCAATATGTGGTTTATGTGTGAAGCTACATTTGAGTTCGGTTTAGGTGTAGCGTCAGTGTTAGTCATTCATTTTTGATGGTTAGGGTAAGCAGCTAGGGAAAGCATTATGTCAATGGGAGGTCCCCACGAGGATAGCAAACCAGACTTGTGTGTGTTACCTGGTTGGAGCCTTCAGCTTCTTGCGGATGCCGATGTAGATCTTTAAGGACTTCAGAGCCCACTCCTTCTCAGGTTTGATGCTCTGCAGACACAGATGTTGAGACTTTTGTTTTTTACTATTGTTTTACTGAGATTTGCTGGTTTTCTGTTCTTATTTTGGTTTTTAATGTTTTCCCAGGTGTTACTCGTCTTCTTGTTCTCCAGTATTTTGTACACATTCCTCCTGTTTGTTAATTATTCGGCCACAGTTGGTGTGGAGCGCCTACAGTTTTGTTGTCCATGTACAATGATATCTATTCTATTCTATTCTTTTTTAACTGTTTGTTTTACTGCTGTCTACTGTTCCCGACTACCTTCTTGTCTTTGAGCAGCAGCAGTTTGTGGTGTCGAATCTGGAACGTTCTCTCCTGGAACCTGGTCCCCTGAAGGAGCTTCGGAGGCTCCTCGCGACACCTCAGCAGACCCACCTTCATGATCTCGCTCTTATAGGCTGACAGGCACACACAGGTGGACACGTTAGCCATTAATGCAACATCAGAAGCTTATTATCACACAGCTGTGTCCACCTACAGGTGAGGAGAGTGATGCCTTCTCCTTTAGGGACCCTCTTCACCACCAGGTAGGCGGAGCTCGGGTCGGCCATCTTACACCACTGCAGAGCCTGCTCCAGGACCTTCTCTTTGGGGTGTAACGGACGCTCTAAAAACATGACAACAACCAACATGTGAGACAGGTGACCTCTGACCTCCTGAGAGAGACAGGAGTGTTTGCTCACCCAGCTGACCGTCCTCGATGGCCTCGAACGTCATCCAGACGTCTTTGTCCCCAGCTGGGACGTTCCTCATGTACAGAACCTGATTGGTCAGCTCCTCAGCACACATGGTGGGAGACACCTGCACAGGTCAGAGGTCACACAGCTTTAGTAATCGTCATTATCGCTATCAATAAAAGTTCTGATTAACGATGCCCAGCCTTACTTTGAGAGTTATGCAGCAGTCGGGTATCTTCATCTCCAGATAGATTTCAATGATCAGATCACCGGCCTGAGAGAGCTGTACAGAATCAACCAATCAGGCGGCGGTTTCAGACACAGAGGCAAAATCAGCTAAACTTTAAAAGGAACCGCCGAGGACCGGCTGAGGGAACGCATTGCACAAAGGATGATGAAGATGGAGCTGCCAGGCAGGAGGAGAGGAGGAAGGCCTCAGAGGAGGTTCATGGGTGTAGTGAAGGAGGACATGCAGAGGGTGGGGCAACAGGATGCTGGGATAGAGACGGATGATCACGTTGGTCCCAGAGACCAGGACGCTGAATGAAACACTTAACACATGTTCTACGTTCTATGGTTCACCTGTGTGTCTGTGCAAGAGTGAGTTTGTGTACCTGAGTGTCCTTCCAGGTGGTGATGAGGCTGATTTCCAGCTCAATCTGGGTCTGATGCTCCTCATCAATCTGAAACATGAAACAGAACGTCACACACGGGGAACATGACAAAGAGAGGAGAACGTCACACACAGGGAATATGACAAAGAGAGGAGAACGTCACACACAGGGAACATGACAAAGAGAGGAGAACGTCACACACAGGAGAACGTCACTCAGGAGAACGTCACTCAGGAGAACGACACACACAGGAGAACGTCACACACAGGGGAACATGACAAAGAGAGGAGAACGTCACACACAGGA